ATATACATATATGCACTGAACATATATGCACTAAAAGAAATTCTGTTTGTTTAAGCTTGTGCCTCCACTTGCCACGTCCAAATATCATTATCTATTAGTATTATAAATATTTAGATCTACTGGTAAGCAGAAGTAATTTTTCTAAGTAATAATTTTTTAAAATATCACTTATCTTGTTATAACAATATATAGTTATCACAATATACTGTTCAAACAAATTTTATGATTTCGCAACCGTAATTTAATAATTTCGCTTACCAAATTAGGGCATATATTAAATATTTATTATTGCTTGCATCTCATTGTGCATGAAGCTCATCATGAAGTTATAAAGCATTTAACAGATCTCTTGAACTTTAATTTATTACGGTATATTAATGTTATTTGTTCAAAAATAATAATTGCAAAATGGTTTATAAGATTTGATGACCGTTCTACCTAACTTTATCTTAAAATGTAGCGCAGAATTACATTATAATAATAATTAAAAAAAAAAAAACAATTCTCTTAATTTTAAACTCGAAAATTGAATTAAAAGCGTTATAATAGCAGTACAGGAAAATAACTTTAAATTACAAAATATTTATTGAAAAACAATACCTTTACGACTGTTATTTGTTTACAAAATAATATGGAAATGATCCTCATGCGTTCTCAATTTTGCTTAGTTGTTTTGTTCGTTACTAACCTCAAGTTTTCTGTGATTGGTTATGTGTTAGCATTTCACTCTCTTCTTATATTATATAAAGAAATATGTATATACAAAGTAAGCTTACTATATAGCGCCTTACACTAAGTAATCTGGCTTACTACGTGCATAGAAAACATGCTGATATCATGCTTTCATATAAGAAAATGAAATGGTGTCGTATATTGCATCATTTCTTTCATAAGTGTGAGAGCGATAAATTGGGGATATTTAAAAAAAGGCAAGGTTGCATTGGGACATTAATACGCAGTAGTAAATTAAAACATAAAAATGTACCAGGTGTTATTACATTTATAAAATTTTATTTTGTAACCTTCGTTGTGAACAGCTGACACAATTTTCGGGTTTACTATTACTAATGTTCAACTCCGTGACCATGTAGTTTTGAACCAATCCAGAAGACAAGGGAATTCCTGAATCAAGTAATGGGAGAAATTTACCTTCGTTGAGGACTTTTTGATGGAACTAACCCAAATTTGTGTTAAATGGTGAGGAAAACCACGAAAAACTCCCATGGTTAGCCTAACAACAAGGGGACTACATTTATAATATTTAATGAGATATGGAGATATGCTGTAACATCCATAATACTCTATAATGGAATATCACTCCGTTCGTAAGAGATATGTTCAGGAATCCACGCTGCTACGAAGTGTCAGAGGGTTCATAACGCTGTTTAGAAACATCAAACATGTATTTTGAAATTAATCAAAAGCTTTTTTTTTTTAAATTTAAACTCTTTTTCTTTTTGTTGCAAGTTAAGAAGAGACCATTATACGAAAAAGGGTAAAAATTCTTTGTAATGACTATATTCCATGCAAATAATCACACCAGATTTTCATAATAATAAACTAAACTTTATTCAAAATTAAAAGAAACTAGTCATTATATTTACTCAGAGCATCCAGCTCTTAAACAACCAAGGGAGACCCTCTCCCGACCAAGATAAACATACATCTACCTCGATTCCTAGCATGCCCCCGAAGGGGTGACACAATGCGCCAAGTGCGCCTGAACGATCGCCAAACAGTTGCCAAACATTACATTCTTTATGTCACATTTGATTTGTTAAGGGCATGTCAGCGTAAGACGCGTCAGTTTTAGTGGCCCAATCAAATCCAATGCTCTTTGTAACGTCATATAACTGTTTTTTCCTTCTTATTTAACGAAATGTGACGAATAACTTATGCAACGAATAACTTACTTAAAATCTATGATTCTAGTAAGACGTTGAATCTATAAATTTTTTTTAAAAAATAATTCTGAGTTATATATCCATCTTAAAAGATAGCATGAATTTAATTTCTGCTCGACGTGTTTAACTTTTAAAAGACTTCAAATTGTTCTGAAAGCATCTTTCTATTACTTGATAACGAAATGAAACGAAACAATATGCAGTTGCGGATAATTATTTAAATCCTATATCGCAATGGTCTCTTCCCAACTTGTAACGGAGTACAGATTACTTCCTATCTGGGACTAGAGAGAGGGAATTTAATATAAAGATCCCTTCTTGTTTTGAAGTTTCTGAGCGTACATACTCTCAGAATAAAAACTAACTCTACCTTTTAACGATTCAGCTATCCTTGAGCAGTATTTCGTTAATTTTGAGAATCATTTCGCCACGAAATCACGCTATTTGTGACGAAACGTGCACTCTCAAACCTATGACGAAAATGTTTCCTCAATTCAAATCCTCTTCGTAGTGCATTGTGGGAGAGTGTTAACTAGAGTGACGAATAAAGACTAGACAATCGAAAATAAACTGACGATTCACGATGACCGGTTTGTATGTTGTTCAAGAAGGTTGGTCTTGTACCAAGAAGACCCGGAGTTCGAATCCTTCTTCGGATATGGGTGTAGTTTATGTATTTGAATTTGTTGTATCGTGCCGTCTTTGTGGTACCCACGTTAAAGTGATTATTAAAAAAGTTAGATACATTAGGCACTTCATGTTTTTCAACTTTGTGTGCTTGTAGAATATATTAATTTTCACTTAAATATAAACGTTTATATATCAAATTGAAGGTAATTTAATGAGGAATTTAATAATAAATACAGTATTACAATATCTGTATTACAAAAAAAGTTATGCAACTATAAGTAAGATCTATCTTCGATTTGCATTTTTTTAAAGTGATACTTACACTATCAATACTTAGTAGGATAACACTTATTTTTTAAGACAGCTTCACAGCGTCTTTTCATCGAGTGAACGAGTGTTTAGAGTTCATCTTTCGTAATCACATGGTGCCAAGAATCAATTATAGCTTCACTTAGTTGTCTTTTGATGGATGGACGTTTTTTTCGTACAAGAATTTTCAAACATCGCCACAAATTTTCAATTGGATTGAGATCAGGGCTGTTTCCTGGCCAAGGTAATATATCTATGCCTTTATTTTGAAGGCATGCCTTGCATACTTTTGCTGTGTGGCATGAAGCTGAATCCTGCTGAAAAATAAATGGTGCGTTGTTGGGGAAGAGATGTCTGATGGCAGGTATCAATTTTGGGTTTCAGGACAGTTTCGATGTATTTTTTGGCACTCAGGATGCCAAATCAGGCCAAAAAAACTGCACAAGTGCTACTACCGATAGAAAAATTAAATGGCTATGCCTTCAAGATAGAACAATGTCATCAGATGCCATTAGATGTGAAATGAATGCAGCTGGTATTGCAGTAAGTTCAAGAACAATAAGTTCAAGAACAATAAGAAGAAGGTTATCAGGATTTGTACTACGAGCTAGAATTCCAAGGAAAAACCATATTTAAATCAAAAGCAATGCGAAAAACGAGTTAAATTGGCAAAAGAACACATTAAATGGTCAGAAAATCAATGGAAGCAAGTAATCTGGAGTGATGAGAGTAAAATATCGCTCTTTGGAAGAAATGGTAGGAAATACGTGAGACGTAGAGTAGGTGAAGCGCTTCATCCTAATTGCATTGAAGCTACTACAAAAAATCCAACAAATGTCATGATTTGGGCATGTATGTCTGCAGATGGTGTGGGCCGAATTCAAGTGATTGATGGCATCCTGAATGCCAAAAAATACATCGAAACTGCCCTGAAACCAAAATTGATACCTTCAATCAGGGATCTCTTCTCCAACAACGCACCATTTATTTTTCAGCAGGATTCAGCTCCATGCCACACAGCAAAAGTATGCAAAGCATG